GGGTTTCACAGGGCCCGCGAAGGGGGGGGCCTTGTCAAGCGGCTCCGAGCTGCGCTCTCGCCTCCTCGCTTTGGTCTTCCGCCCTCACCCCCACGTTACGTTCTGCTTTCCTAGTTCGTTGCTGTTCAGATTTTTGCCTGTGTTGTCTTAAGAAATTTAATTTTAGATGCAGGTAACGCCCTGTTATTGGAAAGCGTATCTTATTGGGGCAGTTTAACGAATAATGCCTGCAGGGGCACAGTTGGTTCCTTCAGCAGATGAGTAGCGGTGAAGTGTCAGAGCAAAAAATTCACTGCACGTGTTAGAATGACAATGAGGAAGCCAGGTGTTACTGTTAGTAAACGTTAGCATAGAATCGTATGAGACTTGTCAGGTAGTGTATTGCAAAGAGTCTAAGGTGCTTGTTTAGAAAAGAGATCGCTGAATGGGCTAAAGGGCTTACTCCTTGCCAAAGCCCGAGTGGTATGGATGTGTGTTAAAATATGTCAGTGTGTGTCAGGTGAGGATTTAGCTCAAGGTCCAAAGATCTACTTTCATTTTGGAAAATAACAAAAAGCCTGCTTTCCTGAGGTAGCTTTGTGATTCATTGATGATGTCTTCCAAGGCATTGTAAACCAAGAGACAGATAGCTGCTGTAATCCTCCAAATTATGTGTCTGTGCTTTTCACCAGGAGGTAGAAGAAGTGAGGCTTGAGCTGCTGCTATGTTCTTCCCAGCTGATGTCGAACTTACTGTGCTTCATAAGCTCTAGCCTGGCCTGTTTTGCTTGATTACTTTTAATTTATGTGGTAACCGTCATCTCTTACTGATCAAATTCTTTTAAAACCAAACCTTAAAAAAAGCAACTCTTCACATGCCTGTGATTCTACTGGTGTATTGGCCCAGCACTGCATAAAATAAAAATCAGGCAGATCTGCTGTTCTCACCTGTCTGAGTTCTTCTTAACTCCTGTTTGGCCTATAACTCATTCTGCTGTTTCTTCTATGGGATAAAGTTGATGGAGGACACTGGACTCTGTTAGGATTCAGCATTGCTCCTCTGTGCCAGGAAGATGTTGTTTTCCTTCACCACATTCTTATTTTTATGGCCCGCGGAAATTTTTTCATCTGTGCTATTAGGTAGTTTAGTAAATCTCCTCATTTACATTAAAACCAAATAGAACTGAAAAGAAGGAAAAAAGAGTGCAAACTTAAAACTAGTGATCAATGAGAAACATTCTGAAAGGGGGAAAACTATATGTAAAATAAAACGTGATTTCCAGACTAGTTAGTGCAGTCTTAGTAAGTCTAAACCTGCTTGTGTTGAGAATGTCTGCCTGAACTTGTATTAAATGATTAAGGTAGCTTGAGTTCTGCCTGTGTCAGCTAGGGCATTTAATGTTCTGTGTAACTGTCCAGTTCTGTTTCTTGTTCCAGTGAGCAAACATACAGATAAACGGTCTACTCCAAAGGCACATGTTGCAAACTGATCAATAACCTGTGGAAGAACTCGCAGCAATGCCTGGCATGACTTGACTGCAGAGCTGATAGTAAACGTCGCTTCAGTCAGGGTTGTCCCTGGAAGTCTGAAAAACTTTTCTGGTTAACTCATTTTAGATGATTGCAAAACACTGTTTGAGATCTCAAAAGTACCAGCTTAGGTTAGCAGAATTAGATTCCTTTTCCTCTTGTATTTGGAAGAAGCTGTAGACAAACAGTTGTTTCACTGGGAGTTGTAACTTCAGTTAATTTTTTTTCTCTAACTGATTGTGGCTGTCTCTTGCACACTAAAGTCTAAATTATTACTCTAAATTCTTGAAATGCCACTGGTTCGATATTAATTGACAAGGAGTGATTTGCATAATGGTCTTTTGTTTGGGAGTTTTTAAAGAATGTGAATCTTGTTTTAGCCATGCTCTGTTCTGATACATTAAATTATGACAAACTAAATGTTCAAAGGGATTTGAAAGTATAAGTCTAGGAATTCAGCTGAGACATCAGTGTAAAACTTGACACACACCCAGTCACCTGCTGTCGGTCTCTTGCAAGCATCTGCATTCTTTCCCT